CTATGCAGCCCCCCGTTTAGAAAGCTGTTTACGAAACAATATCACGCAATTATCAAATCAGTTGTCCGCTTACTTTACGTATCATGCACGCTACGAGATATCGCGAGCGGTATCTCGCCGGCAAATACAAATACAAACGTTCCAGTTACTCGAGAGTCCGCCCCGTCTATTGACTTCCATCGTTTTCTCCGTCAGCGTCCCGGTGTGTCGTTCGATCTCGGCGAAATGATGATATACCGCGAAACCCGTCCGCGGAATTGCACGATTTGGGAGACGTGTCCCGATACGTTATATTCGCGGCGATCAAGCGCGAATCAAAGGGAATTATCATCTCGCACCGTGCGCGAGTTGATCGCGCGAGGCAGCGAGACGGCGAAAACCTCCACGACACAATTAAATCGCGATCCATCGGGCATCAAATATGCATCGATCGCGAGAGTTTTTTTTTTCCACTGCGACTTGCCGGCCACAATTTTCACCGTCCGTCCCGGCCGATTTACGACGAACAATCTACCTACGATACAGAAGCTCGGCCGCGGGAGGATAAATTGCAACGACGCGCATTTTCACCGCGATCGCGGATCTAGACAATACGCGCATCACGCGGCTCCATATAGGCTTCATGCGGCTATTTTTGTTACCTGCGCTTCTTTTAACCACGCTATCGCCTAGAACTAATTATACTTATTCGCTAGATATTGCATCGTCTACCGGCTCCTCGTTCTCCTCTTTTTCAGCCGCTACTGCCTTTACCTGTCTACCGATCACGCTATGTATATACATGCGTTTATGTATATATGTATACATCGCTACACGACACAAATGCCCGCTTGACAACTTCGTTATGTTCCCCTACAAAGTATATTATCTCTGTACAATAAGCGCACCGCGATTTGTACTCGCACACACACACACACTCGCACGCGCACACACTTTCTCTCCATTCATTCTCTCTCTTTTTTTCCTTTTTCTCTCTTATCGTTTATTGAAATCTAGATTAAATATTGTACAGAGAATTTCGCTATGTCAACTGCGACCGTGTCGTTTCCTTCTCGACCAGTTAGGCTGATCTTCGGGCTTACGTTCTAAGCGAAGTATCGTACATCGACATTATGTTATCGCGCCGATCGTGTCGAGGAGTGCGACGTTCGCAGAAACGTTTGCGAGACGCAACTCGATCGCCTACGAAGCACAATAATCACATTTACGCTGTTCGATCTTATTACTAAATCGTAATCGGCGCCATCACCGCGTTCCGGATATTCATCCAAGGATTCACAGAAGCCCGTACCGCGAAACGATTCTCCCCGGTATTCGATTGTTATCGACAACAAATTCCGCACCCCTTCTCGTTCTCTCACGTCCGCTCGTGTTTCCTCGCGAGAAATCGTTACCGTGTATCGCCCTGCTCTATCGCGTCACCGTTTGCAAAATCAAGAGCGATGGTAAAAATACGGTCGGTTTAGCGACGAATATCGCACTCGGAAATTTATTAGGAAAGCTCATTTTCGCCAGTGTAATCGTCACCGTAAGTCACGTTGGCGCGTGTATCTTGCGCGAGCGAACGAGATCCGCAACATCAGGAGCATAAATATTCGGTATCGAGACGCTCAATTAGCGAAAGACAGACAGAGAGAGAGAGAGAGAGAGAGAGACCGGATGAATAGGATATTTCGGTCAGGTCTGCGATGTCAAAGCGATCTCAGCGGCTGTCGCGCACGTAGCTCGTGATATTTACAAGCATGACGAAGAGACAGGATAACTCTCACCGTTGGCAGTGAATTTCGGAAGATACCCAAGGTGCCAAAATGTTCCCCGCGGCGAGAACTCCCAAATTCGGAGCGCTCGCACGGCGCGAATACAAAATATCGTCTCGCGCTCGAAAAGCGGGACGCTCTGTACTTTTTCATGGAAGAACATGAGGCGCTTTTAGCGGCGAGATGCTGCGGCGAGAATATCGGATGAGGTTCGCGAGCGAGGCGAATTACGTACGTACGTGCGAATCGATATCAAGGTAGAAAAGTGCACGACACGATCGGAGGAGCGCAATAAAAAGTTCGATTGCGACTATTCCCGCGTGGTCGCTCGCTGATTTGCGAGACAGATTAATATACAAGATAAATACACAATTTCGAACTTTTCGAAACAAAAGATTACCGCGAACTGTATGCTGACTTGTCCGCGTGTTATCAAGCTGATGCACTCGGAGATACACGGAAAAAATTAGTCTTAAATCAATGATACACGGGAAAAAAGTTATATTGACCAGAAAGGAAAGAACCAAATGCATTTTGGTTGAAGGAAACAGGATTTCTGATTATAAAAACCTCGATTAAGTCATAAGAACCAGCTTCCTGAAAATCCCGCCTCGTTCAACCAGAACACATCTGATTGGGGCGATCGGATTTGTTTTCCGTGTAAATATTCTCATATATATAAGTAAAAATATTATAATTTTCTTCGAAGACTTTTAATCTTGATTCGATTGAATTTGTATTGATGCGTTATTTGCGCTCAATTCAAGACTAAACATCTAAGAATATCATAATATTCTTGTACATGAAAATATCTATCGCTGATTTGAGATTATTTTTATTCTGTGCGCGAATATCGTTCTCCTTTCTTTCTTGGAAGATTTTTCAAACCGAGTGAACGAACAAAAACAAATACCCCGGAGTGGGTTACTTATTTTACGAATAATTGAGATGATTAAGTTGAAGTAGCAAAGGTGATACTTGGTTGGTTTGGGATGAATACTCCTCCTAATCACACGCGAATATTCACGAAGCGCAGAAATGCAAATGCGGCGGATGGAAGGAAAGCGCGTCTCACGAGAGTCGAACCGACATGGGCTCAAAGTCGACGCGACGCGCTCGATCGCGCACACCTTCCCTGTTCGCTTAACTTTTCGTCGTACAACCGGCGCGGTATAACGCTAAAGTTAAAACTGTTCAGGCTGATGAAGTACCTGAATTCGATTTAAGCGGCGTTTTATCGAAAAAAGCTGCGCTTAACGTATATAACCCGATGCCCGACTTTTAATATTTCTCCTATCTCAAATGTACATTCGAATGACGATTCAAGAGCAACTCGGTAAAGGAGATGTGTGTCACTCGATCCACTCGCTCGGTCGACTATCAATTGTAATCCAACGCGATCCGTGAAATGCAGACGTGTGAAGTATTCGAACATAACTCAACTATTTGTCATTTCTCTCTCGCGACGTTTAGAGACGTTACAACCTAGTCTTCGTTGCACGCACGTTTCTTTTTCTTTTTTTCGATAAATCGCTTCTAATAGTGATCATTTCAATCTGCCGAAATCGTTCGACTCAATCGCGTTTTGGATGCGACGCTAACGCAGCGCTTCTGCGCGCGTGTTGAAATCTGACGACGTACGAGAGCGTGGAATTTTCGCTACCGGCTTGTCGAATTTCGTTCTTCCGACGATCTGCAGTAATCGCGAGATACACACGTGTGCGTTTGCTGTAAAGTGGAATAAAAAAATTAGGCATCGCTGGTACCTTGAGAAATAAGCGATATTGAAATACATCGCCGGCCTTCGGACGCCGTGATTCATCACAGTCTGCTGCTAAACTTGAACTAATTGCTCACGCCGACGATACAATATAATTATTGCAATAAGTTTTTCTTCCTTTTAATAGCAAAAATCGCGCAAATATACCGAACGGTCAACGTCGTGCGAGAAACTTATAATACCTATAATACAAATACATTAATAATTTAGAATAATACAAATAATATACGAAGTAAAAGCGACGTTGTGTGATTATCCAGACGGAGACGTCTGGCCGACGCGTCGCACGCCGAATGATCGTTTTCAAATATCCATTGAACCGGAGAGCCTTTTTCCCTTTTCCTTATCTTTCTTTCACCGCACGAAACGCGACATCGATCGGACATCGACGGGAGCTCGTTAGCGGGGCATGAGTACCGAGTGTCGCAAAATTCGAAGAGAAGAGACCTTTGTTTTAGGCCATCTCAAGGCAGTGTACATTACGATCCACGATCGAGCCGTAGGTGAAACGTCAATTGTCCAATCGCTTCCACGAGGCGAGCTACCTCGAGCTGATTCGTTGCTCGTAAAAAAAAGGGAGTAACGCATTATTACTTAATATGTCCGAGACATACACACACACACGCACACACACATAATGGCGCACGTTATAATAAGCAGCGCGAGAAACGCTCCGCGATTATCGCGCGATTACACGCTAAAGGTGAGGAAGGGGACGCGCTCCTCTCTAATCGCAAAGCGCGGCAGAGTAGACTTTATGCGACATTACAGCGCGCTTGGTTTATACCTATGTATACACGTATATATATATATATATATATATATATATATATCTCGAGGTACCTTACACACCTAATATCTTCACTTTACGTCTTTCGTGCAACGAATCGATCGATCGATCGTCTCGTTCGAGGTTTACTACGGTAAGGCTTAACGGCAAAACGACGCTGTTACGAACACGACGCGGCGCTCCACGTGGCGTTATTTAACAACGTGACGAATGAATTAATAGTAACGCAACTATTAATAGACCCCGCGAGAGCCCTCCACGTACGTGGAGCTCTCTACGGACCGTTCCCGTTCGCGAATCGCTGCTTAGGATTAGGAATTGTCGGCATCGGTCCGGCAACGCGTCCGTCACCGTGGTACACATGATCGGCCTAAGACTCCCTACACGCACATACATTGCTGCCTACCTAAACCTACCCTAGCTACGCGTCCTAAGCACGTTTACACGAGGGATAACAAACATATTCACACGTGTGTACAGCATGTTATATACATACGCGCTGGCTCGAGCGCGCTGCGCCGATGATTGAATCACGGTTGATCGTGTGTTACTATGTATGTACAAAAAGCGCGTAACGCCGGGCGTCTCGCCGGCGCGTGTCTTAAAATATGATTCTCATTTGATTATTGTCCGAGTTCACCANGAGGGGGCGGGGGGAGGGAGAGAGAGAGACGCGAGTAAGTATATAATTCGGCAATTAAGTATGGAAGGCCATCTTATCCGCGCAAAGAAGCGAGTCCGCGTCGTCTAGAAGCTCTAGAAGCCTGGACGCTCAGCTCTACGAGGTGTCATCGAAAACGGCTATCCTTCGCTGTCTTCCTCTCTTACGTCATGTGCAAGTCGCCCCTCAGTATCCTGGTGAAGGTCTTCTTGAACTGCTGATTCGCCAATGCGTAGCAGAAGGGATTCATGGGGCTGTTGGCGTAACACAGGAAGTACGAGAACATGAAGAGGTGCTCGTTCGTGCAGGGCGGGTTCGCGCAGAAACCCTCGACGAGGGCGAGTATGTGGTAGGGCGTCCAACAGGCGACGAAGGCGCCCAGGATGAAGGATATCGTGCGGAAAGCCTTGCGCGCCCGGTTCTCCGTCCGCGACTTCTGCCGGCCTATCGTGAAGTCCTTCTTCTGCGTCTTCGCCTTGAGCCGCTTGCCGATGGACTTGACGAAGTCCCGCCTCGAGCCGCTCTGCTCCGCGTCGGACTGCGCGTCCTTCTTCTTGGACGACTGCCGCTTCACCTCCTGGCTGTTCGTGGTGGCCGACGCGGTCGGCACCGCGCTGCTTGACGACGAATTCTGCGCGGGGTTGCTCACCTTGACGAACTGGTCGGAGACGCGGTCGGTCGTGCTGTTGGACGACTCCATCGTCACGACGATCGTCGCCGGCGTCGCCGTCGCCTGCGGGCTCGCAACCACCGTCGTCACCGGCTGCCGTTTCTTCGCGCCCTCCGCGCTCACGGACACCTCGGTGTGCACCTTGCTGACTGTGGGCGACGTCTGCGACGCCGCGTTCGACTGATGAGTGATGAAGACGCGCGGCGGGTGCGTCTGGCTGGACGCGTTCGACATGGCGGGCTGCTTGCTCTGTACGACCGTCAGCTGACCGCTGCCAGCCTGCTGCGCGGTCGCCCTGATCAGAGCGGTCTGCAGCAGGCTGGTGCTGCCGGTAATCGCCGCGTTGCCCAGGATCGGCGAGGACGGTGCCGTCGAGAGCGGGTTCGCCAGGCTGCAGGAGAAGGAAGACGGTGGGCTCTCGTAAGAGGGACTCGGCACGATGATCGAGCTCTCGTCCATGTAGCGCAGGTCGCCGCCGTCCAGGCCGGTGAGGATGTCGTAGGTGCCTTGGCCGTGGGAGCAGACGATCAGCGACTTCGGCCGGTCGGTCGACGACGACGTGGCGGGGCTCTCCGAGACCAGCGGGCTGCTCTGGAACTGCGTCGGCGGCGGGATGATGTTCTGCTGAACGCTGTTGATCGACGCGTGCTTCGTCGTCTCGGCCGACTGTTGATTAGCCTCGCTCGATCTCAGAGACTGCTCCGGCGTCAGCGTCCGGCTGTTGTTGTCCGGCTCGACGGGATTGTCGGTGTCCAGGAGACTGAGCTCTTGGATCTTCGGCAGTGTTTGGGCCCGTTGCGTCGCCGTGCCGACGTCGCGCGTGGGACTGGCGGGCAGTAGTTTCCGCGCGGTCGGCACGCTCAGCTCCACCTTGACCGGCACGATGCCGTTGAGGCGGCCATTGGTGGCGAACACCTGCAGGGCGCCGGACTGGGCCATCAGACCCGCCAGCGACGAGCGTTTGCGGATGTTGCTCTGCTGCTGGCTGGTGCCCACAGTGCTCTCCTCGTCGGAGTCGAAGGCCGGGCTGCTCGACCGCTCGGACTTCTCGGTCTCGAGCACCGTCGCGTTCGCCGCGACGTTCTTGCACTCGGACACCGCGGTCGTCGAGTCGGCGCTCTTGGCGACGCTCTTCTGCGGGACGCTCGCGTCCGTGCCGCCTTCCTCCGCGGCCCCGCCGCTGACCTTCGGCTTGTCCTGGCTCAACAGGGTGCTCTGGGTCTTGGAAATGCCGATGCCGGCGGCGCGGCCGGCCATGCCGGACATCGCCCCGGCGCTCAGCGCGACCATCGACTGCATCTTCCGCTGCTTCGCCTCGCTCTTCTTCTGCATGTCGTACGCGGTCTTGTATATGCCGCCGTAGAGGATGAACAGTACGATCAGCGTCGTCCAGTAGTAACCGATGATCAGCGCGGTGTTGAACACCGGGTCCTTGAGGAACTGCACCGCGCACTGGCCCGGGTTCAAGTCCCTGTAGCCGATGAAGTGCTCCCAGCCGAAGATGCTGATGAAGAAGAGCAGCGCCGGTATGATCCAGGTGATGGTCACCATCCAGATCACCCGCTGCTTCGTCCGCCAGCTGCGGTACTGCGCGGCTATCTTCACCGAGCAGAAGCGGTCGATCGTGATCAGCAGCACGGTGTACTGGGACACCAGGCACACCGTGTAGTCCACCGACAGCCATAGATCGCAGAGCAGCGGGCCCAGGTTCCAATAGCCCATCAGCACGTAGACCGTGTAGAACGGCATCGACACGGTGCCTGCGCAACAATTACGTCGTTACTGCGTACCACCGATTTCCATTGACGCGCGTATTTCATTGTGCTCGCGCGCGCGCGTAATCTCGGACAACAACGCGCTGATCAAATAGCGTCCCCCCGCGCGATATCAGCATCCTTTCGCGATATTATAACGGATTTGCATTAGAAATACCACCGGTCCCGCGGCCGCGGATCGTCGCGCTAAACGTCGAGGGGCGTGAATCGTGTGTCGCGAATGTCGAGTTCAGTCGACGAGCGGCGGAAACCGGTTGAAACCGCCGTGACATTTTAATATTCCGTTCGTCGGAGTTGCGGTTAATCGCGGGAGGCATTAACATGCTCCGTAATAATTGATGACGGCGCGAGCGAAATCCATGCGAAGTCGCGTAAATGGTCGAAGTCGCGTCTAGAATGATTGCCTTCGTCGAGTGACTTCCATGAGTTACGAAGACTATGAGGCTTCTGAAAGCTTCTTTGTGAAAAGTTGAGAAAAGTTGCGAGATCACGTAGGATACCGGTGCTTCGCAATGGTATTTACATCTATCCGATATTGTTGAGAGGCCATTCAACAATTACATCACATTACGAGAGGAGGAGGGCTATTATTAGCTTACGTGATGGTCTGTGATGATGGAGTGGAGGGCAGCAAAGGCCATTGAATGTCACATTAGATGACATAATTTGCAAATATGGATGCGCGTGGTTATACATTTTGTTCGCATCCGTGATTTAGTTTCATTTAATGGACATTTTTCAATGTTTCTACACGATTTTGTGCTAATAATCAAAATGTGAATTTTTAAATATTTGTTTTTCCAAAAACGCAAATTTTATTAATCAATATTATAAAATAATCAACTTGCTATTATATGCCTAAAAATTATATGTATTTTGGGAAAAAAGAGTAGCACGTAGTGTAATCATTATTATCGACTGGTTATAAGCTATTGTTTTTATTCTATGTGTCGGTGGGGAGGGGGGTGGGTAATTCCACGCGTCACGTAATACTGGAAGGGAGCAAATACTTTGTGAGGAAGAAAGGAGGATGGAAAATACTCAAATTTAGCGTGACGTAATTGTTGAATAGCCCCTAGGTCGATGCAAAAGGTCGTGTTTGCTAAATGAAACAGAAGACGGAATTATCCACTTTTGAAGGACTAATCATTCTCGGTATTTCTTCAGACATCTAACGAGGACTTTCTGTTTTCCTTTCGATAGCCAAACTTCCGATGAGAATTTAACATGTTGACTGTCGCGTCACTCAGATATGAGTGACGGTTTTACTTTGTGACAAGGAAGGATTTTAAATTCTTAGAAGAATGTTTTTAATAGTACGAAGCGTCGCGCGAATATAAATTTTAACCCCGCAGGACTCGTGGCCAATTTAAGCGGGGCAGTCAACACGTTAATAGAAAAATGACGAATCTCTCGCACCGACCTCGAATACTTTACAAAATTAATTTACCTAATCCTCGAAAATGAGTCTTCCATCTTCGGAGACGCGCTTTACGAAGATACTCATAAAAGTATTCTCCGCCGGTGCAGGGCTGCTTACGATTTAACGGGGATGGATTTAGATTCCCGATAAAATGCCGTGTGTATCATTTTCTGCGCGACGTAACGCGACACTCGTCATCGTGGGTGCGAGGAAAGCGAAAGGCGGAAGCGGTGTGGGACTTACCGATAAGCATATCAGTGGCGGCTAATGATGCGATGAAGTAGTTACTCGGTTGCCTGATGGCCCTATCTACGATGAATGCCAGAAGAACGAGGATGTTACCGCCGACGGTTAACAGTATGCATATCGCCAGACAGATAGCGATCAGTACCGTCTGCCAGAGCGCGAACGGTGGCAAAACGGGCGTCAGAGATTCATCTGTTCGATGGACGTAAAGTTTTTATCAGCAAATGCCGCTTAAATCGTCAGTCAATGGCGACGTGACGGTTAAGATGGCTTCGACTATGGACGGCGCGATATTTCGCTGAATTCGCCCGCGCATTCTGCGGCATTCTGACTCGAAAGAAGCGATATGCGCTGGAAACCAAAAAAGAAGAAAGAAAGAGGGGGGAACGGGGGAGAGAAAGAAAAAGTGAGAAAACGATTTACGGTGGAAAGCTGTCCGGGGCGTCGCGGCTATAGCTTAATTTCAATTACATTACCCAACGTCGACGAAGTCGTCGCGTTTCCGAAAGTCGAGCTGTTCGTCGCGTTTGTTGGAAACCAGTCGGGCAGAAGTTCCGCGTATTCACCGCTGCTCCAGCGCGGGTCATCCGGGTCAGGCCATGTTCCATTTAACTGGGTACATTCCGCCGTCAAAATCTGGTTGTACACGAATCGACATAGGCGCTCCCGTTGTCTCTTCAGCTTCCTAGAAACGAAAGAGGTTTTCTCTTTTTGTTTACTGTTAGATGCGGAATGCGCGGAATGCAATCGTTCTGTGCACCGACACCGGTATGGAAAACATATGAAAAGCCGGCCCAACTCTTTCGTCGAGGTCGGTACAAAATTACAAAAATAAAAAAAGCAACAGAAAGAAACGAGATAAATCCTATCTCGTTCATCACCATCAATCGCTCTCGCTCGAAACCCGGCGAGATAATTCGACCTAACGAGACGGCCGAAATCCCAGCTAATAATAACACCCGACCGAAAATAGAGCACCAAGCGCGCTCGCGTAATTGCAGATCAAACGAAATTGCGAATCGGGTCTGCCTCCCCTCACCCCCCCTGCGTCATCGGATTAATTCCATTTACATTTGATGACTCTTCACCGCGCTGCGCACGTGTAAATTACATTTTACGACGGCGAGGGAAGTTCGATAGTTCGGTAAATCACAATGTTCCTATTCCTTCGTCGTGGCTGCGTGTTTCTGTTACCATCGAAGAAAATGTGACACCGGTATTTCCTGATTCTGTACACAGCGACATACACGGCCCTACTATCCTTCTCTCTCCCTCTCTCTCTTTCTCTCTGTTTCTCTCCTTCTCTCTCTCCCTCTCGCTCTCGCGGGAATGTTGCTGCAGTGGCAACACGAGAAGCGACTCAAAGGCTGAATACACCGGGCGCACAATGAGCTTGAAATAAGCATGAATGGAACCACATCCAACCCCCGCCGCCAGTCTCATCGCCGGTAGGCAAGAAACGACAGGGCACGCCTTAAAGAGGGTGAGCCCGTTTTTAAATCATTCAAGCGGTCGATCGGGATGCCGCGCAGTCGTGAAAATCGCGCGCGACGGCAACTCGCCTTCGCCGTAATTCGCGACAAAAGACCCACTTCGCGAATCACGGCCATCGGGTTTGCTATTCTTATCATACGTTCCGCCGCTTCACAAAGAAAAGCGCGCGTCCTTTCTCCGTCTCGCGCGCATCCGGAATACGATCGATTTACCATTTACCTATCAACATCGCGGATATTTACGCGAAAAAATCGAATGCCGAGCAGAAAGAAGCATGTGGCTGCTCGGAAGAAAAGCAGCACTTTGACCAAACGCAGTAATCGCCACTCGACGAAAATATTAACACGGTACCTGAGTCGAAATTTCAGTTCTACGTTAAATTTTCAAAAGTCTTCTATCGTATTCCCTTTGATGCTGCAATTGCAAAGTGATTTCCGTTTTTTCTACTTAAAGACTTATTGTAGAATTTAAAACTTCCCCCCGGTAGGTTTAAGTTCACTTTGTAGCATCAATGGAGCACTATTAGTGGGAAGTTATTTCTGTTTTCTCCACTTAAAGACTTGATATAGAACGAAATAGACTTCCCGTAGAACTAAAATTTCGATTCGGGAAGGACGTGACGATGAGGATTGACGCCGGCGGGAAATGGACGAGATTTCAAATCTTTCGACGCGCTGGTCTCACTTGGCGGCTCTGTCACAGTCTGATTATTTGCATAATGTTTCATAAATGTGCCCACGCATGCGTTTTAACTTGACACCGGGAAGTAAAGTAATGCAAACATTTCACGCATAAGGGCTGCCAATGCAGTTCCGGATACTTGCCAACCCCTTGTCACGTTATTACGAGGCTGAATGGAAGCTCCAACTCCGGCTTAGCGCGCCCGTTTCAGTGGGAATAGATAGATTATCGCGCCTGAAGTTCGACTGAATCGCGAGTTCTTGCGCGGGATAAAGCCGTTTGAGTATTCGACCCGCGATACGACCGCGATTCCGCCTGCTTTCTTCAGTGTCAGAGGTAAATCCTCCTTATTCAACGCCGACGAGCATTATGGGACCGTCAATGTGTAGCGCATTGGCACAATGGGCGAATGATTTTTCGCCAAGTCCCGGACATTTCCGGCTGCGAGTACCTTTGACTGCACGATGTTGCGATCTCTACTCGACGAATACGCGAACGGACCTGAAATGAAATTATATGCGCGTTCGCGTGTCTCGAAACGAGACGAATTATCGCCGTGCCAATCGAACTGTATTTCTGCTTTATTAATTTTATTAATACGAGAGAGAAAGAGAGAGAGAGAAAGAGAGATTTTCCAACATCGAATATAGCCACGTCAATCTGAGCGTTGTGCAGATGTGTGTTTCTCGAATTTATTTTCAGTTCCGTAAATATGTAATTTTACAACAATCGCGGCTCTCAATTTCCGCCGTGTATTAGTTGCCGTTCTCGGTAAACTTTATCAATTGACGAATTTCATGTTAACATTATAGCGACGGGTACCGGAGCGCGAGTGCCTGGACAAACTGCGAGAATAAAGAATGAAGCATGAGATCCTTTGTTTCAGCGTTCCCTAGAGTAAATACTTGCCCTCATTATTCGTGAGCATCCTCATTCTATAGCTCTACCGTAAAATCACTCGTAAATACTTGTCCTCGTTATTGTTGTACTTCTACTTTCGCGAGGCTATTGTGAAACTGTCCATGAAAGAGAACCGACTACCCGTAATTATCTGAGAATTCAATCATTCCGTTCGCGTGAAGAGAATCGGGTAAAAAAGCGACCAATTACCAGCGGCGAGCGAAATCTCCGCGAAATCATTCGATTGACATCTCCGTCGCGTCTCTTGGCGACATGCGAGACGGAGTGATTTCACATTTGATACGTAATACGCTCCTTCGATCGGTGTATTTTTCAAGCGTATGAGTTTCTTAAGAAAAAATTATTCATTTCAGTGCGAGGTATCGAGACCATTTTAATCTTCGAGTTATAAGTAATTGAAAGCCAAGAGCATCTCGAAAATTAAATTCAGGGATACGAAAAATAGCGAAATTTTTTAATGAGATGTTATTATCGTTTATTACTATATATCGCACGCTATTATTGTAGTATATTATCAATGCACACACAGTCGAATTTCTTGTTCTCAGAAAAAAAATTAATCCATTTAGTTAATAATTTAAACATCTTAATAAAAATAAGAGATTTAATTGCACCGGACAAAATTACAAAATACTTTACCGGCTTGAATTGGGCGATGCAAAGGAAAGACTTGTAACATGACGTGCACCACATTCATGGTCTACTCCTGTCTACAACGAGCTAACTCGACCTCGTGAAAATGACGTAAACTACCGTAGGAGCTTTAACGGCGGCAACTACTTCCTGTCATTTGCGCTAGCAAGGTGTCAGCATTTCAAAAAGAAATCTCCCCCTCCCCCCTTTTTATTACAGTAACAGAGAAAAACAACAAGAAAAAGGCAAAGGCTTCTGCAAATTGAGATATGTATAGGTGGAGGGTAAGACGTGGAGGGATGAAAAAAAAATGTGAAAGAAATCAGCTCGCTAGGAGGGTATGCCTCTTGAATCTTGGTATATGTAAGAGCTTCGCTATTAATGCTAAAATTATTATGTGTTTTGCTGACAATAGTACGCGATTGATACACAGTATTTTATAAAAGATGCATTTCAANATATATATATATATATATATTACACGCGTGCGGAAATTTGAAGACTCGCTTAAAACCAAATTTAAAATACACACAGAAATAAAGTGTTAAATTCAAGTAAATAATTACTTTAATTCTTCTTAGCAAATTTTTGCTTGGATTGAATAAGTTTTATTTTGCTTGGATTGAATAAATTTTATTTGGTATCAAGTAAATATATTTTGTATAGTTCGTTTGAAAAACATTTTACTTGGATCAAATAAAGATTACGTGGTGCAAGTAAAAATTTGCTAAGGAGTATTTGAGTAATTATTTAGTTGAATCTAGCCTCATTTTAGCACTTTTTTATCTCACCTCAACCCAGCACTTTCTGTAGATTAAAATATAACAATACATATTAAAATAGAAACAAAACGTCTGCCGCGTTGAAAAATTGTCGAGCCCAACGGAGATCGAAGTTCATAGAACGAAGAGAAACACTCGACGATAATTCGCACGCATGATTCTGAACGATTTCGGAGGATGTCGCGAGATCAAGATGCACAAGTCAGACTTCATGCGCGTGGTTCCCTCGCCGCGAATATTTCCCGGCGGAAAACAGCAAGACGACTCGTCCAAACAGCGCGCGAGCGAACACCTCGATGTTTTTACGTACTCTCGTATTCCCCGGGTGTCTGTATTTCGATAAACAAAAACAGAGAAGCATTCGTTCCATTTTGTTCGTGCGATTCATTGTCCCACGCGACATTCGTCGGTGTGACTTGTCAGCCGTACCGGCTACAAGCTAGTACCTTGCCAGTCCAATGGACACACCGAGCGGGTGTATCGAATCGCATGGACATTCGTTAACACCGTGGCGCAATAACGCCGCCGACGGCACAATGTGTGTACATGTCCCTTTTAAGGTGTGCAAGCGCGGGCGCCGCACTGTCGGTGTACGGTGAGAAAGAGAGAGGGTGGCGCAGGGTGGTGGAGGCTGTATAAGCCCTAGTGAGCAGAGGATCATCGCCGTGGAATGGCATGATCATACGGACGGATGGAAGGGCTGCTCCGGAGGGAGGCAGGCTGAGAGGGCGGGCAGGAAGAGAGGAGAGTGAATAAAAAGTTGGACCGACCGTGCAAGCGAGGAAAAATCGCGAGGAAGGAGACTGCGGAGCAGGCGGAATATGGAATGACGAGCTGTGGCAACAAGTACCGCCCGGCCCCGTTCCAGCGCGTCATAAATATCCGTTGGCGAGCCGAGGAACGCCGATGCGACGAACGAGACGAGGTTGTCAGGCCGAGACGACCCGCTGATAATATTTGAAAATTGCCACGATTTCGCCGGAGATTACGCGCGAGACGTTCGTGACGTTTTATAAACGTAGCTCTGGGGTGACGGGTAAACCGTCGGGGTCGTTCGGCTATTACTCCCATTCGATGAATCGCCGGAATCTGAAAATAATTCTTTCCGCTCATGAAAAATTAATTAGTATCAAGATTCAAGACTCGTATTCTCATATATAAGTAAGTGTGAATT